GGGATTCTCCCTTTCCTTTCTTTTTTCTATCTGTAAATCAAAGTTTTGGTTGGCATTTTAGAAGTTTAAAAATAAGGTGGGTTTTGGGGATTCTCTGCTGCTTTGCCCTTGAGCTCCGGGTAGCACAGCGGCAACAGAACTGTACTTGTCCCTTCTGGGGAGCAGGGCAGCTCTATGACCATGACAGTGGACCTCCATTACTGCATGTGAGGTGATACATCCCAGAGAGGAAAATCTGCCTATGTTCTTGCCAGCATGCTCTGGAGTCCTCCTCTTTCTGCTCACTGGGCCTCTGGCCCTCCCAGCTGGTTCTGCGCAGGGCTTGGCTGCTACCTGCTCCATGTGCTTTGCAGAAGTATACTAGAACCAGCCGGCGCTGGGGCTAAAAAGGCAGGAATTTTGCAAGCTGATTTTTAAATCATTGGTAGCTTGAGATCAGCCTTGGTGGGAATATTTACAACACAGAAATTGGCAAACATTACAAATCAAGCCCTGCCCCCTGCTGGTGTACCCATATGTCACAGCTTACATGCCCTTCCGCCTACCGGTTGAAACATGCTCACATTTTTTTTTTTTTTAAACAATGACACCCTTTAGAATTTTTTGATGCAAATATTTACTAGGAAAAAAAAAAGAGAAAAATAGCCTGACTTCCTTCTCCTCCTTCTTCAAAAGCTTTGAGACAAAGTTTTGTTTTTTTTTTATCAAGTACAGATTTCTGCTCTTAATTTTAACCAGAGTTTGTTCAAAAGACAGGCAAGTTGTCCCAGCTTTCAAACACAGTTTGATTCCTTTTCTTTAAGCCCACACTAGCCCAGTTTCCTGTTAAAATCCCCCCATTTTCCTCTTCCTGCCTCCTCTGGCTTCCTGAAGGTAACCGTCTGCTGACATTGTCCCTACCCCAAGGCATCAGACTCTTCACTGGTCCTTTTTGGCTCAAGAAGCCAGTCTAGGTCTGCAGGTCCACCTGGGCTGTCTGCTCTCGTCTGGTTTGTTTGTGAGGAACGATGGCTGTTTCTGATTTCCCCACAACATCATCCTCTTATTTTTTGACAGGTCAAATCTGGACTCCATGGCGTTGCACCTGGACTCCTGGCACGGCTGAGGCAATATTCGGGAGGGAGAGGAGAGTCGTTCATTCACTGCCTGCCTTGCCCAGACAATGAGCTCTGCTCCTACCCACTCTGGGGAAGGTACGGCTGTGTAGGTCTAGAGGCTGCATGTTTGAAAAAGGCATGTGGATTCTAGAACCTGCAGGCTAGAGGTATTGTGAGGAGGTTGCCCCACCCCTGCTGGGGATGTTGCCATATTTAGTGCCATAAACCCAGGGCCTAGAAAAGTAGTTAATCCTCATTTGTTGACTGACCTGTTTTATCTCCCTCCCTCAGGCAGAAACTGTTAACTCAGGCTGACATAACAAGGGGCTACAGACTGGGGGTCTTAAACAATAGACATCTATTGTTCTCACACTTCTGGAGGCTAGGCATCCAAGATCAAGGTTCTGGAAAATTTGGTTTCTGGTGAGGCCTCCCTTCCTGGTTTATAGATGGCCACCTTCTCACTGAAACATCTCTGATGTTCCTTCCTCTTCTTATAAAGACACCTTATTAAGATTAGGGCCCCACCCGATGAGCTCATTGAACCTTAATTACTTCCTTACAGGCCCTATCTCCAAATAAATCACATTGGGGGATAGGGCCTCAACATCTGAACCCTGGGGGAGGGGGACACAATTCCATCCATAATAAATGGGAACCAGTTCTGTTCTAAAAATATTTACAGAAAAAAGAAATGCCCTCACAATCTCCTTGAACTCCCTCTTTCAGATTCGACAACTCTCTTCAGGAAAGTCTCCCATGTGGCTTAAATCCTGCTCCATGCAGGGTGAAGAAGCCATTGTTTCTTCTGGCTTCCATGCGTAGGGCAGAGAGTGAATCTTAATTCAGTATATCTGTGGTTTCTATCTGTGTATCTACACTTATCCCTCAAATTTTATCCACTCAAAATTAATTTTTATTCATTCAAATTTAAATAATAAACATGTGCAGTAATCTAAGAAGAGGCAAACAGAGCCAAGTCAAACAGCGATGGGGCTTTGTGACTCTCCAAAGTGAGAACTTTAATTCCTTAAAACCCCTAATGACACAGTGGGTTTGAAAATCACTATTACATTATCCCTTATCCCTCTCTTCTTCAATTAATTCCTTCTCCAATCCTGTTTCTTCTGCTAGTTGCTGAGGACATAAAATAAATCAGGATGGAAGCCAGACACCATGCCTCTTTACTCCTCATTCGTACTTAGTTTTTCCTTCATATAAATTTGGGTTTCGTGCCTCTCACTTTGTGGGGTAAGTTCTTCTTGTGTTTATCCGATGTTGTTAGGGGGCTGGAGAGTGGCAATGGGAGCTGGTGAATGGGAGCTGGCAGGAGGGTGGCATTGGGAAAAGAAGTCCAAGGCCGAGTCCAAGGCTACTCTTCTGTGCACATTTGCATTTAACAGGAAACTTCTGGAATCAAGATGCTTGAATGCAAAGAAACTGAGTGCCTATGATGAGGGTTTCAGGCAGGTCTGTGAGAGATATTTTGTGGGGGTGGTGGGACTTCCCTCAAATCACACGATCAAGACAAGCATCTGCCTCTAACCCCTTCGCATTAGAGAGTAGCCCAGAGAGCGGGGCTTTGGGGAGAGGGGGCAGGGCCAAGACTCAGGCCAAGGAGAGGAGTTGGGGGATGGCTGTGTTTGTGGGGCGTGCACGCACACACACACATTCACTCCCTTGCCTCTGAATGGGTTATTAGCTGGATTTGGGGTTACTCTGCCCACGTGTGGTCCCAGGTGCAACAGGCTTGAAAGGAGCTGGACCTGGGCCACGGCAGGGGTGGGGCCGGTGGTTGGCAACCCCAGGGTGCGGCCACCCCTCCCCCGTGGAATCCTGACTCTCAGGACTTAAGAGCTGGGAGGCACCTTAGAAGCTCAGCGAGTATAAGCCTTTCATTTCACAGATGAAGTCACTGAGGCCCCAGAGGGCTCCACCCTCTTTCTGGGCTTGTCAGAGGCACTTAAGAAATACATGTTGACTTGACACGACCCACTGTGAAATAGGCATAACAAAACTCCCCGCATGGCAGCCGGATTAGGATGCCTGCAGCTGGGAATGATTCTCCCTCTGCTGGTTAAGCCTAAATGGCGGGGGAGTAGCCGCGGGGCACTGTGGGAAGTCTGAGGGCACAACCCGAGTGGAGGTCGAAAGCTTCCCTTCACAGATAAACTTGACTTTAATAGAGCGTCATTAAGCCCAACCCCACCTCCGGTAACAGATGCATACACTGAGGCCCAGCGAAGGGAACCCATTTGGCTGGTGCACCGCAGGCAGACGCGGGCTTTGAAACCGGCAGGCCGGCTTCCTGACCGATGTTCTACCAGCTCTGCCAGGCAGCCTCTCCTGGAAGGATGTCGCCAGTCTGGCATTGGCTGTATTGTTTGGGTGTAGAGAATATAGGGAATGTGATGGAAGGGAGGCAGGGGAGTAGGGCAGGGAGCAGCGAGGAAGTCGAGCTAGGCGTGGCGAGGCCAGCCCGGCTTTCCTGGGTGCCGCCATTTTGTGACTCAAGATGGAGTGCGAGTTCGCGTCTCACCAGTGAAACAACCGTATAAATTAAACCTGCAGCAAACTGTCTGCTGAAGGTGTGAACAAGGCCGGTAAATCCCTGGGAGCTTAGGAAACATCTGCTCCTTACCTCGAAGGCAGAAACTTGACCATAAAGCAGAAAAAGCCAGGGCTGGAATCTTTCACTTTCTCTGATGGGATGAAGATGGGGCCCAACCTTCAGATAAACTCCATGACTGGGGGAGATTTTGTGAACTTGTAGGCTAGATTCTCCCCTTCTCCCCTGTTAGGCTGGGATCTCCCCACTTCTGCCATGCCTCTCTCAGTTCTTCAGTGACCTTGGGCTGTGGTTATGCGGCCAGGGAAGGGAGTCGAGACTTGGTCAGGGTCCTCTCTGCTGGGCCTCAGTGGGTAGTGGGCGTATTTGAGCCAGAAGAAGGGATGAGGAAAAGGTGGCAGGCCCAACAGGAATCAGGAGTAGGGGCAGGTCACCAGGCCCCGGTCAGAACCCCTGGCCAGAGGTCTGGGGCTGAGTGTGGGTGTGGGGGCCCGGTGACGGTGGTGGGGCAAAGAGCAACCTGGAGTTAAGGCCAGGAATCCAGGAGATCAGAATTGGATTGTTAACCTCATAGCTGGAATCTTGGAATCAGAGGAGCGTGAGGAAGCACCATGACTGAGGCCTAAGGTGTGAAATGCTGACTTCCAGCAAGGTCTTAAGCACAAGGATGGCGAATAGGTGATGACACTTGCTTGCTGATCCCAACTGGATGGTGATGGCCATGTGGAGTGTGGTATTTAGGAGGGTCAGATCCTGGCAGGGTTGAAAGGTGCTGTGTTCATGGATGATGTCTACTATAAATAGGTCAAAGAAGAGACTGCCTGGTGCCACATAGTTCTCATTCCCACTTTGATGGCCTCTCATATTCCTTATTCCATCCATCACTGATTTGCAGTTTATCCCTTTGTGCCCAGTTCACCCATCATCTTTCAGAATTCCGAACAGGTGCTGTGCTGCTGGTCCACGCCATGGGACTGCCTTAGAGATGAGAAACCTCTTTTCATTTACTCCCTGGAATGGAGTCTAAAGCTTGTTCTCTCAACATACTGTTAGTTTCAGTAGCAAAGTATATGGCATGTATGAAATCCTTTAGGCAGAAAATAATAGATAGTTTCAAGGCTTAGAGGCTGTGCCTGGATGTAGACCACTGTCATTGTCATGTGGTCCTGGGTCCTATCTCTTATGTTCTTTCAGAGGAGCATGAACAGCCTGGGAATCTAGTGGACGGTGATTAGTGAGGAAGCAAGGTGGTCCAGGCCATGCTCCTTGCCCTACCTGGGGATAAACTCGTACTTTTCCAGATTGATAAGGAGCCGATAGGTAGGGACGCCTGGCTGGCTCAGTCAGTTAAGCGTCTGCCTTCAGCTCAGGTCATGATCCCAGGGTCCTGGGATTGAATCCCGCATCGGGCTCCCCCTGCTCAGCGGGGAGTCTGCTTTTCCCTCTGCCTGCCGTTCCCTCTGCTTGTGCTCTCTCTCTGACAAATAAATAAAATCTTAAAAAAAAAAAAAAAGGAGTAGATATGTAATAAGCAGCTGGTAAGTGAAATGAACTCTGTTAGGCACAGCAGACCATCACAAGGCAAGTATGAACCAGTCTCTGCCCTCCAGGCGCTTTTACTCTAGGGAGTTTATGTGGCTAGTGGAATGAGGAAGGATGGGTAGCAAGAATTATTTAGTTAGTAATAACGGAAATGGCTGGTGAGAAGGACCAGTGCCATGGACTACTTAGTGCTTTTGGTCACGGTCATGTGGACACAGATGTGCTTGGTGGGGGTGGGGCCAGGGAGAGAAAAATCCACGTTTCTTCTCCATCATTTCATCTGCACACATGAGATTGATCAGAGTTGCAACTTTGAACTTTCAGATTTTTTTTTTTTTTTTCCTGGGGGCAGGTGTCAAAATCCACTCACCTAGGAAACTGTGTAGAGGTAAGCACCTGGGATCGGACCTGGGTGTTTCTCTGATTGCTTCATAGCATGACTTTGGGCAAATGACTTGATCTCTTTGAGCTCCAGTTTCTTCTTTTTTAAATCTGTGAGGTGGGGTAATAATGTCTGCCTTGCCATCTAATAGGATTAAAAAGCATTAACATGTATGAAAGTGATTTATAGATTATAAAGCCCTATACAAATGCAAAGGCTTATTATTGTGACCGTAAACACGAATAATTGTTAGGTACAGAATGCATACCTCTTGCATTAAACTGTGAAAAATGGGGTCTCTCTTGAATGGTATGTTCACTCCATATTTTATTCAACCAATCTAGAATCCATGGTAGCATTCTCTTCTTCCACTATTTGATGACACCGAGCTCCCAATCAGTAGTGAAAACCTCTGAGCTGTTTTAGCAAAGGTGGAAAATTTTCCCCCTCACCCTCCATGGGCTGGTTGCCCTACGGGAGAGAAGGGGCTTGCATTTTAAGATGGATGACCAAGTGAGGGGTGCAGTCTTGGATTGAAAACCCGAGCAGAGCTAACCAGCCCACAGAGGCCTTGCTCTCTTGGTTAGTTCTTGTTAACTCACTGGGCCAGCTGGACGAAGGAATGACGACGAGCACTGAGGTTGGTGGTTTGGAGCTTGCTTTATTCCAGCACGTGACTCCCTTCCCTGTAGCACTACCAGGACTCAGTTCTTCTTGCTAGCAGACATTAGGGAGTTTCACTGCAAATTCTGTTTAGCTAATTTGGGCAGAAAAGGGTATTGTCCCGTTTGACTCAAAGGTTCTGCAATTTGGAGCAAATGCACTTTGAGCTTAGATCACGTGCTGTGCCGGCAACTTGTTTTAACTTTTCATTCTTATAGTAGGAGGACAAAGAAAAAGATTTCAAATGTCATTTGCTGTAATGATTAGCTTCAGTGAGGGATTCTGTCTATGGCTATTTGCTTCAAAGCTTTAATTGGCTGAAGCCTGTATATTTGATCATTAACAAAATGGTCTCTTTTCTATCGTGTTAATAATTTTGTTTAATAGAAATGTGGCTTTGATTTCTTTCGGGGCTACGTTGCTATTTTTCTGGCACTGAGAAGTGTTGGTTTAAGATTTTGCCACATATGAGACATGGCAGAATTCCATTTTGGAAGTCTCCAAGCTTGGGCCTGCTCAAAAGATGGGACTGGAAGGAATATTCTTGGCCCAGTTGAGCGAAGCAGTTTGTTTGGATCAGACCAAAACAAAGAGGTTGGCTTATGTGGAAACTTTATACCTGTCCCACATGTTTTAGACACTTCTGAGAAAAAAAACAGCTCCATATTTGCAATTAAAAGGTCAAAAAGCCACATGTTGGCCCCAGTGCCAATCGAGCGGGGTCCTCAAGCAGTCAGCGCTGATGTTGTTAAGTAAGAGTATGTTGTGGCCACTTAACCAATCTCCACACCTGGAAAAAGTAAAAAATTCAAGAAAGCCAGCAAAGTGAATTTGAAACCAGAGCGTGCTCTAGTGACCGTGTTCAGACTCTGAGCTCCTGAGTTGTCTCTCCGTTCCAGGCTTGGAGGGATATTTGAAAAGCATGCCTCATTTTGGGCAGAATCTCCTGAATTCGTATCTCAGGGGCAGGATTAACACTGTGCAGCGCCCTGTGTGGACCCAGATTCTTCGAACTATATTCTCATGAAAAGGTGTCCCAGTGACCATGTCATCTTTTTCTTCCGCGTCTGTCTTAAACCAGCTGGTTCATCTCCTGACATTCAATATGCTCTCCTTTTTTTTTTCCCCCTAGCTATGTCAGTGCTCCAAAGAGGCTCGTGAAGGGGACCAGCTGCCCGGATACCAGCAGGAGCTGCTGTAGCTACAGATTTGAGGCGCACACCTGCATGGAGTTGGGTGACAGGGGATTTGTCAGGGAAGGGCGGATCATGCAACATCAGGGCTCTCAAGCCAGAGGGATGGATGGCTCGGGGGTGGCAAATGGGATATCCCGCTGCTCACCTGGAGGTCATGGGATCACACCTGACTTGAATTAGTCAAAAGGATTCCAGGATGAGGGTGAGTTGGTCGTTTATGAATGAGATGATTAGCTGGCTGTAACAGTTCCTAATAAACAGATTGTCCATATCAATGACGACTATTCAGTGAGCCACGGGAGTGGCATCCCTGGAGCCCTCACGCGGGAGGGGGCGGGATGGATGGCGTCTCCAAGAATCCTGCGAAGGCTGTGACTGAATGGGATCACCGGGGGATTAGGGCACGTAGAGAAGAGTCCCCGGGGCCCGGCCCTGCGCCCTCAAATCGGAGGAGGTGGAGAAGATCAGGAGGAGCACTGGAGGGAGAGTGAGAAGGAATGCCCATGTGGCAGGAGGAAAACTGGAAGAGTCGTGACCCGGAAACCAAGTGAGCAGCGTGTTCCAAGGAGGAGGAAGGGAGCAGCACGTGCAGTGATATGTAGGAGGCGCCCTGGACATTGACATTAGGTGCATGGATGTCACTGGTAACTTTGACGAGGGCGGTCTTGGTGGGGTGATGGGGGTCACCATCTGATTGGAGGGAACATAAAAGAGAATGAGAGGAGAGGATTTGGTAAAGGAGCACCGGTGATTCTTATGAGTTTTTTTATATAGTGTTATTAGACAAGGAGCAGAGAAATGGGGTGGTAGGTAGAGGGCAAATAGAGTGAGAGAAGGTTTTTAAAATTTATTTTTTCAGCTGTATCGAGGTATAATTCAAAGTAACATCGTGGAGGGTTTTTTTCCCCCTGAAGATAGCAATAACATGACAATGGGAATAATCCAGTAGAGAAGGAAAATTGTGATGATGTAGGAGAGAGAGAGGGGAGGTCTGTTAAGGCCACATCCTCGAGTGGGATCTAGTGGACAAGTGGAGGGGCTGCTCTTCTCTTTGAGCAAGGATGGCCCATCCATAGTAAGGGGAGGAAGGCAGAGTTTATGGGGCAGATGCTGGTGGGTGCCCAGAAGTGGAGATGGGAAACTGTGGCAGTTCTCTTCTGAACATTTCTATTTTCTCTGAGAGGTAGGAAGTGAGGTTAGCAGTTTAGAGCCTGGAGAGAGAGTAGGTGCTAGAGGTCAGGGTGAGAGGATGGTCATACAGGAGGGGGACAGGTACATGGATGAGGGAATGAGGTGTGATGGCCAGGCAGCATGAGGTCCCAGGTGAGGTCATGGAAATGAATTACATTAAGACCAGTGGGTGTTGGTTGTATGATTTTCTCCAGCCACATTCAGCTATGGGGTGTAGTACGGAGCAGGGGGAGAGAGTTGGATTTTAGGCCAATAGAGTTCTACAAAGCAGGAGAGGGGCACCCTGAAGATTTCTTTTCCATTAAAAAAATATAGACTATAGGCTTATGAAATTGATTTAACGAACTCTTGACGGGTTGTGACTCACAGTTTGGAAACCACTTATTTAAATGATATACTCATTTAAAAAAATATGTTTATTTATTTGAGAGAGAGAGAGAGCACGAGCAGGGGGAGGGGCAGAGGGACAAGCAGACTCCCTGCTGAGCACGGAGCCCGATGTGAGACTGATCCCAGGATCCTGATACCATGACCTGAGCCGAAGTCAGACACTTAACCAACTGAGCCACCCAGGTGCCCCATATATATATAACACTATGTATATATATGTTTGGCTTTTTAACATAGAGATATACCCTCAGTAAGGATTTCTCAGAAAATCCGTCAGGGATTTGTTGAATACCCATGAGGTGCCTAACTAGTTTTTGGTGTGGGGGGTGGCTGGGGGGAGACAGAAGAGGGCTAAGACATAGTTCTTGTCTTCAGGGTGAAGTGTTGGAGAGGATGCAGTCAGCTGTCCCTCCCTCATTCAGCACCTGGGTCAGTTCACTACTCAGAGGTGGCGCCATATTGTAGTGTGCCTACTACCTAAGCAGTTGAGTGGATGCTAAAGGGTCAACATCACAGATGTGTACCTTAATGTCAATCTGAGAACACCTGTTCTCCATATGTGGTTGGATCACCCTACCCAGGATTGTCAACTCCTTTAATCTGAGCAGTAAGCTCTATTTTTAAAAAAGATTTATTTTTTATTTTAGAGAGAGAGAGAGAGGCAGGGGAGGGGGCGAAGGAGAGAGAGTATCTCAAGCAGACTCCCTGCTGAGCATGGAGCCCGAAGTGGGGCTCAATCCCATGACCTTGAGATCATGACCTGAGTGAAAACCAACAGTCAGATGCTTAACTGACTGAGCCACCCAGGCGCCCTTAAGCAGTAAACTCTGTTAATGCATCCTAAGATAGTATCAACCTTTCAGGCAACCTTGGTAAATTGTTGGCTCACAATGACCTTATGGTCAAATTCCATTCTCTGAAACTTTATTTTATTTTATTTTTTTATTTTTTATTTTTTATTTTTTTTATTTTTATTTTTTTAAGGTTTTATTTATTTATTTGAGAGAGAGCACATGAGAGGGGGGAGGGTCAGAGGGAGAAGCAGACTCCCTGCCGAGCAGGGAGCCTGATGCGGGACTCGATCCAGGGACTCCAGGATCATGACCTGAGCCGAAGGCAGTCGCTTAACCGACTGAGCCACCCAGGAGCCCCTTATTTTATTTTTTAAAAGATTTTATTTATTTATTTGACAGAGAGAGAGCACAAGCAGGAGAAGCAGGAGGCAGAGGGAGAGGGAGAAGCAGGTTCCCTGAAGAGCAGGGAACCTGATGTGGGACTCGATCCCAGGACCCCGGGATCATGACCTGAGCTGAAGGCAGACGCTTAACCGACTGAGCCACCCAGGCGCCCCCATTCTCTGAAACTTAAAAAAATCTTCGTTCTCATCAAATTTTTTATTATATATTTAATTTTTTACAGGGCGCAGTGTGGGCTAAACTATATGCCTTTCTCTTAGAGGTTGGGGACTCTGTGTTTCTGAGCTGCAGATTGCTTAATGGGGATAAAGTCAGGGTGCTAGTCCCTTCAAATTTTGGGTCAGCTCAAAACATATGGCCTTGCAGGAAACAGTTTGCAAGAGTCTTTGATGCAAGGGGAAAAATACTTAATTTCTTCATCTTTTTGTTTTATTTTTGTTCTTTGACTCAAAGGGGAAAAGAATTAGGACAAAAGTGATGTATTCTACCCCATCTTTTAATTATATTTTAATTCTGTATAAGAGGACTTCATTTCTCCCTGCAATATTCAATGTTTATGGTCCCAGACATGGCATTTGCATTCTCTGTTTATGGTTTGGATGTTCTGTGCTAACTTGCCACCAATGCAGTTGGGCTTGCCTTTCCAGGCAACAGTTAAGCCAGCAGGAGACCACTTGTGTGCAATTTGTTGGAATGAAATCTACATTTTGGGATTAGATTACTTAGTAGTGTCATTTTGCGTTGAGGCGACTTTGTGGGTGGTCTCCAATAAAGCCTGCACGTACAGCAAGTGTCAGCCCTGATTATCTCCAAGCAAGCTTGTAATGACTGCACAGCTTGGTATTTACAAGAAAAAAAAAAAAAAACAGCTTCCCTTAACGTTTCATTCAGGGAATGCAGGGGCATGGGTGAACCCCCACAAAGGGGTGGCAGAAGGCCCATTGTGGAGCCATTCTTGAAGGGGTGCATCTGAACTTTCTGTTCCTTCTAGAGATCAGGATAATAGCCACAAATGTCACTTGGGGCTTACCAATTAGGACGTTTGTCTTTAACAATGCCCAAAGGAGCTGTCGATCTCAGAATATGTAAGGACTGAAGGATTCGTTGAGGAGGACAGATTAGTGGCGTGAACCAAATGGTTGACTGAAGCGTGGAAATATATGGTAAATAACCAATGATGTGCTGGGCCCACCCCCATCATTCTGGTGGTAGTAATTCTCCAGGGCAGTGGTTCTTCACCAAGGGTGATTTGGCCTTCAGGGGATATTTGGCAGTGTCTAGAGACATTTTTGTTGTCACAACTTGCTGCATTTAGTGGGTAAAGGCCAGGGATGTTGCTAACTATCCTACATCGCACAGACTGTTCCTCCTCCTCCTCCAAAAAAGAATTATTGTGCCCCAAATGTCAGTGTGTTGAGGTTGGGAGACCTACTCCAAGGAACAGGAGCAGTGGGGGTAATGCACTCTTGCCCTTCCCCATCCTCTTCTTTTCTTCCCTCCATGCCCTCTGGCCCCCTTGGATTCCTTCTGCATCCCGGCTCGCCTGGAACCCTCATGGTACTGGAGGGAAAAGATTACAGAGTCATGTAGTAGAGAGAATGTCTGCTTTGGAGCCGGACAGATCTGGGTTAAATCTCAGTCTGATGCCTTCACTTTGGGTAATTTTGGGGGCAAATTACTTAATCTCTCTGAGCCTCAATTTTTAAAAAATCTGAAACAATGGGGACTGCAGTCCTTACCCCACTGGGTGGTAGGGAGGATGAAATCTATGGAAATGTATTAGGACTTGGTCACTAGGTAGTAGATACTTCATAACAGCTTCATCATTGCACATTTTTCCTAGCTATTACTGAAGTTCAGTTTCCCCACCTTTAAACATTATCCCATCAGTTTCTTTTTATTGTGGAAAATTTACAGAAAAGATAAGCAAGTAGGAAGAAAAAGCCAAATCACCTGTATTCTTATGCCTTATACACAGAGATAATCACTGCTAATGCCATCTATATATGTATTTCTAGACTTTCTCTGTGTGTGTGTGTGTGTGCTCATGCTGCGTGTACTCTTTAATGACTTGCTTTTTAGACTTCCTGATGTATTGGGAACATCCCTCCATGTCAATACACATAGATCCACATCATCTACATCATTGTTTAAAAAAGCTGCCTAGTATTTTATTGTATTGATGAACCATGATTTAATCAATCAATCCCTTTATTCTGGGACATTTAGATCATTAAAGTTAGGCTTTAAAGCCCAGAGAATATCTTGTCTAGGCTGTACGGAGTTCATAGTTTGTAGTTCTAGAAAGGCAGCCGTTTGCGTGTGTACTTGCTACTGCACAGAAATCCCCAGTCAGTCGAGTTCAGGAGGGCAGCAGAGGATACATGTTCTCTGCTTCCACTCTGAGCAGACTGCTCCTGGTGTGTGGGAGATAGTGGAGTTAACGTCCTTTTCTTTTCATGACACAGC